TACCCAACTGTGGCAATCGAGATCTGACCCGTGGCACAGAGCAGAATTTGCATCGCTGGGCCCCTCTTTATCGTCCAGACAGTCGTGACAAATACTGGAAGAGAAAGAAAACAGACGATGGGATATGGACCGTCTGAGCCTTTGGTTGGGGATACTGCTATTAGTGGTGATGACCTAGGAGCATTTGCTCCGCGGAAGACCTGCGGATTGCTGGACCAGCCGGACCAGACAAACCCCCCTCAAGTCCTGCAGCCTAATGACACACCGCCAGCGCCGGACGCCAGACGACTGCAGGTCCTGGTAAATTTTGGTTTGCGCTTCCGAAGGCCAAGGCCAAGTTTCTTCGATTTCTGTTCGGATAATCTTCCGTCACCCCTCCCCTCGAGCTTCTTTGAGGAGAGTAGTGGACCCGACCTGGTATGCTGGGGTCTCAGGGTCTTAGAGTCTCTTAAAGGCCCCGACCGTGACCATAGACTGCCTAGGCCCTATAGAGTAGGAGCCCAACCCCGACTTGCCCGAGTGCTGGTGCGGGTGGGTGAGGATGGAAGGTGACTGACTGCACAGGGATCAGGGGAAAGTTGAGGATATGTAGGCGTTATTGATTCGACCTGGCGGCAAGCGCTCATTATTTCACCACTAGAGTCGATCACTAGCAAGGCTACGGTTCCCACAAATGACCCGACCAATTGTTAAAAGTACCGCTGGTCAGCAGTGACATGTACTGATGATTGTTGAGGTTCATGGTTCGATCGTGGCTGTACATGTATTCTTTTTTGTGGATATGACTCCCTCGCATTGGCATGACAGGACCACCTGATCCAGTGTTGCAAGATCCGCAGGCCAATGATTTGCTGTGATCTCGAACCGCAGATTGACAAGATGGCCTTGATTAACCTCGCGTTCTGGGAAAGGAAGGGATTTCATCTACCCATGCGGGGGGGGGCACACCCACTGGTATGGTGGGGCATCCCTGCAGCTTGGATGAATTCGTGATATTCATGCGGGTCTAATGAGCTCTGAGGGCTCTTGGTGGAGTATGGCCGAATGGGCGAGAGACGTCCTGCAAGTCAGATTTCAGCGACTTGAGCCAAGCCGTTGAGTAATGGGCTCCATCGAAGGACGAGGAGCACGCCTCTTCTGGTTGGACAGGACGGAGGCAAAGGTAAGGGTAGGTAGCACAAGAAGACTCGTTGTCCGGGGCTTTTACTTAGCCTTCCGGTGCCCGGGAGCTACTCGCGGCATAGCGGCTTAGCCCAGCAACCCCTTGCTCGCTGATCGATGCCCTGGGTCTATAACGGGATACGGGAGGAGACTACGTACAAAACTGCCTAGGCATTGGTGACAATTGTGGCTTGTGAATGAGTTCAAAGTCGCCACCGAGGGAACTGGCGACGTAATATTCGTAGCCTGAAGTCCAATGAGCTTGGCAATAGCTGAACAGCTATTCCAAGGCGGACTGACATTGGGCACTTCTGCAGCGGGATGTCCGCCGTCCCAGCCACAACCCATCCGCATCAACGACGGTGCTGTGGCAAACCGAAGCGTTTCGAGAATATTAGCCGTTTGTCAAACCGTCGAGTCGGTATTTTGAAAGCAATGCGCCACACACGGATCCGGCCGATAAGCCGAGAGGTGGGGTCAGAGAGGAGGGGCGATTGAGAGAACGGCCTTGTTAGCCTGCATCATGAGCGTCTGTTGGTTCGACTGTTGGGGGAATGTTGCACCGTTGCAAGTGGCTTGGTAATTTAGCATCGAGTGATCGACATCAACATGTCTCCAGGAATGATTCTGGGATGGCAAAATCGAGGCTGTCATGTGAAAACAGATCTTTTCGTTTGTCGTCTTTTCTTTTGATGGCCAGCGACCAGGTACATCCTTGTACCGAGACACCGTCCCTCAGCTGCCGTCGACCATCTTGGACATACAATCGATGTGCGGCCCATGCATTGCCATGGAGATCATTTGATGTAGATCGGGCAGACAAATCTAGGAGGCAGCCTCACTGTCATCGCCGTAGTTTGTAATTGGAGAATGAGCGCCCGTGGCAAGGGAACGCGACAGCAGGTTCCAATTGGGGTAATGCTGCGAAATGGGGGGTCTGGAGCGCTCCATGGCCAACCTTCGATCGCTTCTACAAGGCCAGGGTCCAGCTATCGCAGGCTCGTCGTCCAACCACGTCTTCCCATGCCTCAAACCGGCTTGGCGAGCAGAGTAGAAGAAAACCAGACGGAACAAAAAAGAAAAGAAAGGAACGGCGCCGGGAGCTGTGGGAGGCAGAGGGAGAGAGGGAGAGAGGGAGAGAGGGAGAGAGGGGGCAGAAAGAATGGGCCAATTTCGCCATTTAGTGGTCGGAACAAGGCAGAGGTCGATGAACTGAGGTCCCAAGGGTCCCTCTCAGTGTGCTTAGCATCTGCGGAGGTGTGGCTGATGAGCGATCAGATCAGTGTGTCGGAGGAGGAAGAAAGTGTTGTGGGAAAAAGCGGAGCGGGCTCACTGGTCGCGCGCTTCGTTTTGGCAGACGCTGCACCCGTGGGCGGTAGCCTATCACACCGACCATGGAGCTTTTGCTCCGGGTACCTGTGGCTTGAGTGCCCCCAATTCCACCCAGGCCAGACAAATGCTTGCTGGGACAGCTAAGCGGGTGCACAGGATTTAATTGTCAAAATGGCTCTTTCCCACTGCCTAGACGTTGCGAACTACTGGATATTACAATGTGTTCTGATCGTTGACGCCCCTTGTTGCGCGGTTCTGCTCCTGTCCCTCGCCCTCCCCTTCGCCTAGGACCCCAGAGTTACCAGTGCCCTACTCGAGGCGATTGCCGACAAGCTACATTGGGAAAGTACTCACCTGTCTGCGTTCCTGGACCTCCGGCCGGAGCCCTGTGGGTGGTGGCGACCGTTGGCTTAACCGTGGTACCTGCTTCGCTGTATAAGCCAGCCAACTCCACGGACTGGAGACAACCTCAACCTGCCAACCCACTCCTTGAATAGTCAGTGCCTTGTTCTTTCCTATAAATTTCATCTGCCTCATCCCATATTTATACGTTGTGTTCTTTTTTCGAACCCCCCCCCTTACTATCAGCATCCCCACCCTCCACTTCCATTTTCCATCTTACAATTTTATCTAGATCGACATTCTCTTTCTTCGGAACTCACATCTTCATGTTGGAATAATCCATATACCATCACCCATGAATCATCGCTACTCTTCGCCCTGCCGCTCGATGATTCGGACTTTTTCAAGCTCACGATAGATGTGTACGCAGCATACGGCCCAATGCCCAGTGTGCGGGAAGGATTATCTTGTCTATGTTGCTTTCTGTCAAGAATATCACCCCCCACTGCTCTTCTGCCCCATAGGAACGATTGTGGTCCCCATTGAGATGAGGGAAGGGCAGTGCCCCAGCCCGGTGTGCCCTAACAGCTTGAGAGGCGGCTGCCGTGTCATGTAACATGATACAGAGGATGGTCTCTTGGGTCAGCTGGCTTAGAGCCGGTGGCCATCCGCAGCGACCTCAACTACCTGGTCAAGGCCCTTGTACTCGGGAACCTCAAAATCATATTTTTTTGCAATCATGGGAGAGACAAATCTGTGTTTCTCCATCGTCAGATCCGGTTGAAAAGGTTGGTCAGGAACCAGTTGAGCCTACCTTCCCCCAACAAAGTGTCGCCCTGTGAAGTGCTTCACAAGCGGTTTCGGTGCCGTGAGGCTAACGAGAGTCGCAGGCATAAAGTTACTACCTAACCCGGAATTTGGAGGCCCGTTTTCAATATCCCACGACGAAGGAGCATCAACCGAAGTGACGGGGACCTTTGCGTCCGCGAGGGCTTGGATCACCGCCGGGAATGGCTCCCGAACTTCGCCTGAGAAGCTGAACCCTGCCGCTCTTCGTCAACACCCGAAACTCTCCATCGTGGCAAGTTCAGCCTTGCTCACCGAAAATCGCGTCGACAACGTGGTCCGTGGAATCCAGGGCTGTGCGGAAATCATCTACGAAGGGAACTCTGAGATCCTCAAGTTGCTTGGCAAGACGCTGGGCCCTGTGTTAGTCGTGGTCAATGGTTGGAGAGTTGGGTTCTGTGGCCGAGGACAAGTAAACAAAACAAGAGGCACACATGCGAACCGTGCCCGGAATTTAGAACCCCTTAATCCTAGACAGCAAGATATTTTTGACGATAGCATGCTCATACCTGGTACAGTTCATTCTTGCTCCTCTTTGGATAGAAAATCGTTGGCGAGTAGCCATAATGAAACAGGTGTCTGGCGGCAACGAGGCCATCACCCCCTAGACCACACTCAGGACCGCACACACGAGAGGCGACTTCTCAGCATGGGAATCTCGCACCCACCGTTATTCCCAGGGCCACAGGCAACCAGAATCCGAGGACCCTTCTCAAGGGGATGGACCCTGAATACTTGGTGGTGGGGATGTTAGTGCCGGTGACACAACCCTTAGCTTGATCCAAGACTACCACCTTACCAGCTTGTGAGACTGATAGGCCGGCAAGCTCCATCAACTGGTCGATGGAGAAGGCGCAAGTGCTCATCAGTTCCTGGTCGAGTGCAGCGGCCGCTTTTGCGCCCAAGGTCTGACATCATAAGATAGGCTCCATCAGCTTCATCCCAGGCAAGTGGAACCGTATTATGGAGTTGGGGTGGCGTACTTTCAATGCCATGATGCGAATAGCTTAATTAGACGGAAAAATGAGGCGTGGGAATGGGAAAGAGCAAAAGTTGGCATGTAAAGCGAAGGAATTGGGTCGTGTACATGAGGGCGGGTGGAAATTGAATGACACTGACATCATTAGTTTGAAATGATTGGCTGAATTGAAACAATCCCGGACTGGGTGGGGCAGAAGGGCCACAATTGAAAGCGTTGACGGACAAAAGCTAATCCGCCGAGAAAATTCCGTGAGACCACTCCATACCTAGTCTTGAAGCATCACCACCCATCCGTCCCGCCAGCCTGGGAAACGCCCAGACGCAAAACCTATCAAATCATGGTAGTCAAGATCCGCCTCGCCCGATTTGGGCGCCGAAATTCCCCATTTTACAACATCGTTGTCGCACACGCCCGGTACGCACCTTCTCGATGCTTCGGACGCCCCAATCGCCGACCTTTAGCTGACATAGTTTGCTTCCGATCCTGTAGAACGGCACGAAATTCGAAACCCATTGAGGTCATTGGCACCTATGACCCCATCCCCAAGGCGGACCCTTACGGCAACCCGAAAAAGCTTCACAAGGACATCAACCTCGACGTTGATCGTGCCCAGTACTGGGTCGGTGTCGGCGCCCAACCCACAGACACCGCCTGGAGGATATTGAGCATGGCGAAGGTCCTGCCAAAGAAGGTGGTTGGGCTCCAGCGCGAAAAGCCCCTGGAGCCTGTCGAGGCCAAGTCTGTGAAGATTCACTGAGGACTGAGCGTCGAGTTTGGCATAGAGAAAAAGGGATGTACGATAATACCTGTACGGCATTTGTTCTGGCGTTGACTTTGGGAGAAACGAAGATTTATTGGCACTTCGGACCGCCGCCTGGCCTTGTTTCTATATGTATTGAATGGCATGTATGACCACATTTAACTTCACCCGATTCCCGTGCATGCAAGGACCCCTCGGCCCAGTTCACCGTGACTGTATAAGAATCACCGCGTTTCATCTGAGAGATGTGATTAAACTAAATATATGGAGGTCTTTAATCTACACTATATGCTTGTATATAGCTATTTAGTTATTATTGTATCCAATACTCTCTATAACGCCAACCCCGTGTCTAGGGAACGGATTGAAATCCGCTTTCAAACTCCGCTGATGCCATGCCGCACTTGATAACGTTAACTGAAAGAATGTGAGAACTAGAGTAAGGAAGGGAATGTAGGAGATGAGAAGTGCCTGAAATGAAGGCCGTCAAGTCATGATAGTAGTCGTGTGCGCATGTTGGATTAGGTTCTGTGCACGAAGAAGATGTTCAGAATCAAGCACACTGTCATGACAATAATGCCATACACTGCCAGACTGAGACTGAGTTTGCGAAGGAGGCCTTGATCAATGTGCTCCAGATCCCATCGCCACTTCCTTCGCCATCGCCAGTTATTAGTGAGTGTCGTACCGGTTTCTGAGGCCGATAGTAAGCTAGCTGTACTTCCAGCGACTGTGACGGCGGAGTCAGCGATCTCGGAATCGCTGACTTCGTCAATATCATCATCTTCCTTGATGAGCCGTTGGTGGTGGATGCTCTCCGGGTCGCTAATTTTATAATAAAATAGACCGGGAAGGATAAAGCTAATCGATGTAGAGCCTGTGCTTCCAACAAAGGCTAGAACGCGGTCAAGACTGGAGACCGAGAGTGCGGTGATATACGAGAGGATCAAAATGACCGTGGTGAGAAGCGCGAAACGACCGTCTGACATGGCGGCTTGACCACCATGATCACTTCGCGTGGCTGGTGCATGAAGTAGCGGCGACGCTGGGCGGACAGGAGCTAGAGTCGGCCCTCGGTTGGGGCGCCACTTCATGACAGCATCCAAAGATGCACGGCATGGGTGAACTTGAAGAGGGATGGAAAATAGAACAAGAACGACGATGGCCGCTTTTCCGATGGTGGAAGCAACGCCAGTTGGATCTAGTCTTGTAAGTATGGGGCAAGGATGAAATCCGGATTGAAAATGGGATCACATACACATTGAAATAATATTTGCCACAATGGCATTGCCAAAAGTAATGTAGCCAGCGATCGAGACGACTATGTAAATGACAGCCGCAAGTCCAATACTGGACCCAATTACGCGTGTAATACTGGAAGGTGAGTTGTCTTTGATCTCGTTCATAATGGAGAACATCTGCGAAAGGAGTCAGCAAGTGAGGGCAAGGTCGCTGAGCAGCGGTAGGGATGAGAGCAACCGACATTCTGATGGCATGTGTATGCGAACACAACAACAGGCAAAGCACTCAACGTCTGTATGGGCCCTGCCCACTTGATAACGCGGATATCCTCGGGGCTCGCATGAGGATCTACAGCGAAGTGATAGATGACGAGCACAATCAGGTAGCCTATGGACACAAGCGCGATGAGACTGGTGTACTTGAGCGAGTCAAGTCTCCGCAAGAATGCCAAAGGGATGACCAGAAGCATGAATGCCGTGATCCAGAAATGACGGTCAACGAGATACGGATAACCGTTGGCTTGGTCGTTGAATCCGAGCACCACGCCAGGCATCAAGTCGCCAATGATAATCATATAAGAAACACCGACACCAAAGCATTTGACGGCGATTGCGAGATCGAAGAGAACCGCGGCATTCGGGTATGTAATCTGCGACAAGGCGAAAAACGAGGAGGTTCCGCGATCAAGATATCGGGCGCATTTCGACTGGAGATAGAGTCCGAACGCTGCCATACAACCGGACCAGACAATGAGAAGGGTTCCGAGCATGATTCCCATATGGGATAATATCGATGGCATTGCAAGAGTACCAGCTCCAACAACTGTAAGATGATTAACATATAAGCACTCGACCCAGGTGATGCCGGTTTCGACTGAGGATGGATGTGCGTACTGGTATTCAAAAGATTGACGACGCTGCTGACCATGGACGCCTGGCCACCGCCGTGGCGGATGTCCTTTCTACCTCGTCTTCGAGACCTGTTGGGCCAAATAGTACTTGTCAGTACATCGATCAGAGAAACGGGATGAGAAGCTACAAGGCTCCTCCCTTGAATAGACCGACCTCATTGTATCACCTCCACCTGCGCGAGAAGAAGTGGCATCGGCTATCGTCGAGTAGTGCGTCATGTCCTGACAGAAGTATGGTAGAGTCGCCGCGCTTGTTTCGTTTGCAGTCAGAGAGTTGCTGGGCTCTGAAGCGATGTATGTGCTGTTTGAGTTGGGAGGTATGTACAAAAGAATGTCCCAAATGACCTGGACGGGCGGTAGGTCAATCACCGGGTCGGTCTGGTCGTGTGCCGCCGTCGATCACTTGGGGCGGCACAGCGGCCAGATACAAGCCGCTTCGAGTTGTGCGACCTGGGCGTCCTTCACTGAGGGGGGATAAAGCTGCAGTCTAGATGTGAGGAGGATGATTTAGTGGTTGCAGGATACATAAGCATGCTTCCTCTGACGTTTGAGGCCACGATCCGTCGGTGCCCGTGCCAAGACTGGCTTGTGGGGGTGAACTGTGGCCAATCACAAGGCGGCGCGGACTACCGGGTAGTTTGAAAGCAACTAATCGCAGGCCAGAGATTGCTCGTAACAAGGCGCCATGCTTAGTCTTATCCACACTCCTTTACCTCTGCTCCGACGTCACGCCAACACAGCCTCGAACGATACGAAAGCCGCCGACGTCGGACCGGCCTCCTTGACTGATAGCCTTGCGAAGGACTATCGTCCTGTTGTGGTCATTTGAGGAGGGCTACATCTTGAGCAACACCAAACCCATTGATCGCATTCATCTGTGTTGGTCCCCGGTCCACCCCCCGAGGCTCCGTCGCAATGGCAAGCTCCTTGGACGACACGACCCTGTCCACCCTTTCCCTGCTGGAGTCACGACTACTGCAGATTGAACATCTCCTTTATGGGCAGTCTGATATTTCGTCAGGCCAGGAAAATTCAGCTACGCTCAAACTGGCTGATTTGGAGAGACGATTCAATGCTCTCACGTCCCATATACGCGTATATGGAGAGCTTCTGAAGATTTGTGAGCCTCATCACTGGCAGCTTTCATCACTGTCCTTGGTGATTTTTCATAAATTGCTAATTCACTCTGGCAGACCGAGCACATCCCGACTTCTTCCACTCGCCGGATCCATCAGAGGCTCCGACACAGCTCACAAACGACGCAATCCTGTCCATTGTCCTGTCCGCCGCGTCTACGTATCCGGCAACGCTTTCAGCCTTGACCGCCATCAAGGACAGCCAAATACCCGACCCAGCAGAGAGTGCTGCACTGTTGGCCCAGGCCGAGAGGATGACGGCTATCGAGGCAACTCAACTAGCCCAGGCAGCTGAGATTGCCGAGCTTCGGACAAGGAGCGAGGCTGTTCTACGATCCTGGTACGAGAGCTCCATTTTGTCAAACTCTCAGTTGTTGGCCGACGTTGAAGGCCGAGTGGAAAAGATTGAGCGGCAAGTCAAAAGGGTTGAGCGAATCCGCGATGAAGATGAGGCGATATGAATGGACGAATTACGAATACTTATGACCTGTATGAACCAACACCTCAAACCTCGCGTGGATGACGGTGCATTGCCTCTTTCAACGCCAATGGCTTGTAGGAAACCGCACTCAAGGAATTGAAGGAGTACAAAAAAACTGAAAGATCATCAAGATGGGCTGGCTCAGACTCTAGACATTGCCGGATAGACTTGTGCTTTACGGCGAAAAATAAAACAAATCTATCCGGCAATGTCTTGAGTCTGAGCCAGCCCAACTTTGCGATAGGATAGACTAGATGGCCGGTGAGGGATGATGACCTTATGAATTACCAAACAAGATACCCATAATATCATTCGGAGTCATGGTCCAGGCTAACTATCACCCAAATAAATACACCTATGCATGCGTGCATATGAATGTCAGGGTTGCTAATTGGTATTGTCTGGTTCTTGATCCTCTGGGAGAGGGACCATCTCGCGTGTGGATCGATCGGACGTGCCAAGAAGCGGGAAGTTTTTTCCAGTTTATTTTTATGTGTCGAAGCCGCAAAACTAAATCCACATAAGGCCATCCGCGGCGCCCAGCCACTGCGACCGGCCTTTGTCCAATCAGGGTGCTAGGCCGGGCTCAGGATTCAAGACGCATCATGTCGAAGGGAATAGCTCTGATAACAGTCAGGGGTAGGCACATACGCGGCACAGTGCGAGAATAAGCAAATAAAGAACGGGCCAGGGGGCGCCACCGTCGCGTCGTCAGTCTCAACGGTCGAGAAACGCTGGCAGACCAAGTGGACTTTGGATGCCTTAGGTGAGAGCTTATCCTGGGCTGGGCTGGGTTTTGGCAACGGCTAGCTGGTGCTGGAGGCGAGCCAGACGGAAAAAGGTGACAAGATGGAAGAATGGGAGAACAGAGGCTGGCACATAATTACGGATGTGTATATGCAAATCAGGGAAATATGATCTGTATCCCTTCCTCTGCCTTGCCCTTGGTGCCTTATGCAAGGTTTTCCGAGAGATCCATGGGCGTTCTCTCTTTATGGCAACCCATGCCTTAGGCTGGGTAGTTCCCTGCTCTCGGATTCCGACAAAGGCTTCCTGCATAGACCATCTTGACACCAGCACGCATGGAGAAAAGATCCATTGGCACCTGTTGAAGCCTCATCCTAGCCCACGCAAAAGACCATTGTCTAGAACCACCGAGAATTTCTTGAATGTCGCTCGGTCTTCTTGAGCCAGGAGAGCCGTATATTAGTTCAGATCGTGAAACCGCCAACTTGGCAACTCCCTGTGGGACCCCTGCAGCAACCAAGTCTCATCACCCGATAGAGACCTATCATAGGTTGGAGTGTCGTGCTACCAGGCAAGGAATGGCGAGCCAGTCGACTTGCGCACGGCCGTGGTTTGTGAGGCATGTTCCGGAAAATCGCAACACGCACGCACGATGGGCACGATGGGCACGAGTACATTCAATGTTGACTCGAGCAGATGCTGGTCTCATGGGTGGAATGGTGCAGACCGACCACCAGGTAAGAAAACCGCGAAGCAGCGACATGCCCCATGAGGAAGTACTTTAGCTGCGAGTTGTGGCCAGGTAGAACGACTAATATGTACCTCGCGCGCGGAGGTACTTTTGCAGGCGCTGGCAGCACACCCATCCACGTGTATCGCTACCTCGTCGGCCAGAATGCATGATCCCGGTAGCGCACTGTGTACTACTGCGCCAGGAGCCGGGGGGAGCCAAATTGGCTGCAATTCCCATCACCTCAGCAGTGGCCCTGTGCCTTCCATCCTCAGGGAAAGGCATTTCACCCAATATTAATATGTGGCTACCAGTAGGTGCATACATGTACATAACTGTGCTAATAATTGCTAGGTAGGCTGCGCATCCAAATCGGCTCCCCACTTGGACGCCTCAAATTACTCCCAGTAATATCGTACATACAGTTAGTAGCAGTAAATTAAGAAATGCTGACAGCTTACCGACGCCCTCAGCGTGCAAATTCGGATGCTTGGTGCAGGCCCCCCTACGCACCCACCATCACCTTGCAGCACAGGCGCACCTAGGACCTAATACTGACCACCCACCCTCCCGTAGCCGCCAGTTTCTCTCCCCCAACCAGCTGCTGCTGCACGCAACCTCGCGCAACCCCCCTCACCACGCAGGACCATTCGTCTGTCCACTCGTTCCTCACCAACGTCCTTCTTTTGAATCTCTCTTGTCTTTTGCCTCGCCCATCCCATTTTCCCTTTGCGCCGGACCTGGGCTGTGCTCACCACTGTCTTATCTTCGTCGACGTTGCTGGACCACTCCCCCTTCGCCCAACCTCGCCACGACCCTCTTGTTTTCAGCTTCCGCCCGGCGAGACAGTCACGAAAGACAGACACGACACGAACCATACGAACTCCAGCCCAGCCACCCGCCTATAGTATACAGTGCCATACCGAGCAGCATCATCGTTGACGTCGGAACCCGCCTTATATATATCCCCGTGTGGCTTGGTCTCTATTGTCGGCACGTCGCCTTGCTGTCCAATCCCCCCTTAGGCCTTCGCTCCCAACCCCGGACCGCCCGATTTGCGAAACTGCGCTGGAATTTCGCATCGCGTTGCCCGCCTATTCTTCTGTTGGAAATATTCTTCGCCTCGATAACCCTCCTCACTTGGGCAGCGTCGCAAACTTCTGTTGAATAATTCGCGAGTCGCTCGAGGACCGTTGCTAGCTTCTGCTTACTTCAACTGATCGACTCGACTGATCGACATTGGCGCTCAATTTACTTTCTGTGCCACTGGTCAATCCGTTTGACCACATTGCGCCAACGAGACTGGCCGCTCCCTTATGCCATCGTTGCTCTCACCATCACTGAAGAATATGGATCATTCGAGAGCGTCGTACGGTCGCCGCAAGGGCATCCAGATGGGCAACATCCTGGGTGACCCCTTCGCGCTGGCCACAATTTCCATCGCTATTGTATGATGCACTTCCTTTTAATCCACTTGGTCAACTGCTAACACGCGACAGCTTGTATGGCTTCTTGCCTTCGCCGCCCTGATTGTCGTATTCGTCGAGACCAAGGAGAAGGATAGCTTACCCAGTAATTTCGTCTGGTGGTCTATCGCCTACGATTTGTTCGTCATCTTGGGTGTTTTTACTATCGTTGCTAGTGATACAATCCACACCTACCACGTTGCGCTAACGGCCTACTGCTCCGCTGGCATGGCTCTGACCAGCATCGCGGTGAACAGTCTGATTCACAGCTCAGAGGCTGCGAAACAGGCATCCGCTGCTGGTTTCATTCTACTCGCTATGCTCATGGTATGCACTCCAGTATCTGCAATGTGAGGTATATTCTGCTAACCTGTCGGATAGATTATCTGGACCTTCTACTTTGGATCCACGCCATCCTCAACCCCCCGAGCTTTCCTTGACTCTTTCGCACTGACCAAAGAGTCCGCCATCCTGCACCGTCAAACTATGAGTGGCTATGGAGGTACTGGCCGCCCTGAAACTTCCAACTCTGTGCAGCCTCCTCAAATGTACACCTCTGCCCAATTGAACGGCTTCGAAAACCCATCCAGCGTTGGAGGCGCATCTCAAATGAACCGTGGCTCAGCAGTGCAACCATACAACCACCCGTCGGGCCAGATACAAAAGTCTGCATCGCCCGGTGCTGATGCCGAGGTCGTACCACCCACCGAATACCCCTACCGCGCCAAGGCTATCTACAGCTATGAAGCCAACCCTGATGATGCCAACGAAATTTCTTTCTCGAAACACGAAGTACTCGAGGTTTCCGATGTCAGTGGAAGATGGTGGCAAGCACGTAAAGAGAACGGCGAAACGGGTATTGCCCCTAGTAACTACCTCATCTTATTATGAGCTACGACCCATTGATTTCCTTGCGGCTTCTATTCTATCAAATCTTTTTTTGACCACATCGGAGCTAAGCAGCTCATGGTTACCCTCTTTACTCTTTTACATAACATGAGGCTATTGGTTTTTCGGATATGTTGGATGGAGTATATACGGGCTGACGGTAATTGTCTGCGATCACACCTGTCGGACATGTTAACCAGCTTTTTTTTTGGCCATTGGCTTCTTATTTGACACCCCTTTATTTCTTTACGTCTGCTCCTCAAAATTCACCCCACAATGGTTGTTATATCTGCGGTATGGCCGATTATGAAATTGATGTATTGAGGGCATCGCTTGTAGCTACGACTCATTAGGAGAGATGTAGGCTGAGTGTAAACAGCGATGTATATAGTATTGGAGTTTGGGCATCAATGATGATTCATCTATCGTGTTTACAGCAAACAATCAATTTGTGAGCCGTGTCGCTATTTATTGGCCAGCAAGTACGCCTGCTATCCATTATCCAATTTGAAGAAGATCAACATCGATAAGTTTGAGAAGGCTTGACCCTCATGTAGTTCACATACGGCTGCGAACACATATTGCCTTGTGGTTCTCATCTAGTCTTTAATGTATGGTAATTGGGTATAAACTTCAAAGATGACGAACATGGAGACGCTCTCTCTGCCGTCCTGATCTAACTGAAACGCCGTAAATACGCACCTTGACCAAAAAAAAGTCTACAACCTTCCCAGCATGCATGTAAGGAGACAAGAAAAATAAACCTAGGACGCCTGACCATCTATCCCTCCAGCTGCTTCCTCAACTCCCTCTCTTTCTGCAGAACCTCTAGCTCCAGCCTCTCCACGCCGTACCGTAGAGCCTCTTTCCGTTGCTTCACCGCCCGAGCCCGCAGCTTGTCCTCGCCCGTCAGCTTCCGGCCCTTTGGCTTGGGGCTCTTGGCGGCGCCCTTGCCCTTGCCGTCGCCGTCGGCGGCCAGGCGACCGTGCTGCAGCTCCGAGCGGGCCTTGAGGGTCTCTATGCGCCGCTCCTGGCGCTCAATCTGCGCGTCGGCGCGGGAGAGGAGGAGCGCGATGTAAGGGCCGATCTCGTCGCGGAGAGAGGACTCGGCGGCGGCGAGTGTTGACTGGGGGATGAGTTCGTAATGCTAGATGCGGGAAATGAGCAAACCGTGGCCTGATTAGATGAACGGCGGGGGACGGGGGAAAAGAAGGGGAAATTGGTTTCCGGGGGAGGGAGGTAGGGCCAGGCAGGCAGGCAGTCGAATGTGTGTGTGTGTGGGTGTGGGGGGAGGATCGTGTACATACGCGGACTGTTTTCAGGACGCTGACTAGGCGTGGGAAGTCGGACACGCCCGAGTCGAGGGTCTCAACCGACGACTCGAGGAATTTCAGGGACGAACGGAGGGAGGAGACGCAGTCCGCATAGGTGGTAATGTTGGACGATGTCGCCATGATGACTCGGCGGGTTGGGAGGGAAGCCTTTCACGATGGGCCGGTAGGTGGCCTCCCTCGGGAATGAGAAGGAGATTTCGAAGGCCGCGATGGTGTCTCGTTGTAATTTCCCCTTTCGGTCGAAGGGCGCCGTGGTGGGAGGGGGGACGGAGGAAGAAAATGAAGGTATCGTGAGATTGAGATTGTTGTGTCCCGGCGAGAGACCGGACTATTAGGTGGTGGGTGAGACGCGTGCCCACTGCCCCGCGCTTCGGTGACCAGCCGCCGGTGAGGAACGCTTAATTACAGTGGGACAGCTGCTAGCGGTTGGGCTACGAGCTAGCACAAGCATCAACATGGGTAACCTGGAATGGGCTGAGCTGTTGATGCTCACAGCTGAACAATAACATGACGGCCTGAAGATACGTACTTGCGGTACCGGAGTACCTCCTTTGCGTCTGGTCCTCAGAAATACGATTGGTTCTTAGATACGCCAGAATCACGGCGTAAATGCGGCCGATGTCTGGATAGACGTTCCGGTGACACTATGGCTAGAGCCGCACTTGACACATACATCTATATAAGGTACTTATCTGCCGTTGGTACAGTATCTTATCCTGAGCTGATGGTGGGCGAGTGACACACTACCGATGTGCTCTCCTAGGAGAAGTGGCAAGGGCTGATACAACACGTACTGTGAATCAAGATACGGAGCTGGAACCCCCACTCAGATGGGGGACATACGAGTTGCGTCGGTAATTGGGGCGGATTACGGGCTTATTTCGAATCTAGAAACAAGATATCTGTGGGTAATCAGTGCGAACAATGGTAGAATGCTGAGCAAGGTAGGCAAGCAGGTATCTCTCAAAGGCACAGCTTCATTCATCTCACGTTATGTGTCATCGGTTACCTGCTTGCCGACCAGAGCAAAGAGTACAAAGTTCTGTCTGTCTCACTGTACCAACGAGCTTAACTTGCTGCCTGGAATGTCAATGCCTGCATGCCAGTCACTGCCGTATCATTTCTCGCTGCTTTTTCATTTCAATTTGACTCTGCTCGGCCTGCGGCAGCCCGTGACCCGCGGTGGCTTTGTGCAACTCATTGTTTCGCCGCTGATCGGTGTCCTGGTGCAACTCGATCCCAGACACCACCAAGATGTCCGCCACAGCCTATCCTTTCTGTTATAGGTCCATACATGTTAGTCTCTCTCTTGGTGTCACCTGAGACTTCAATCGGTCACAGATAAGGCATCCATGGGAAAAGGTACGAGTAAATTGAAAGAGAGAGCTGTAGTATCGTCACTATCGTCAATATCAATACCGGCCATCATGCTGATTCCACCGATCTTCTCGTAAGACGATCATTCCTCGAGCATAGTAAACGAATCTTCGATCTTGTTCAAAGAGAGGAGCATATCTTGGGGTCTTCGCCCGCTTCGTCGGCCGATGCCCACCACGCCCAAAGCCCCACGGAGAAATTGCTTATCGAGAACGCAAGCCATGACTCTCCGATCTGGATGTGAACTTGTCTGCGGGTAGCGCCTCCAGCGACGATCACCGGCGCAAAAACGGGGTAGCCATATGGAAAAATCTTGATGATGTTGCTCGCCCTTGTCACGATGACTAAACTATACTGACTCTCCCTTGCGCGACTGAGACCTGAATCCACGGGCCAAGTCCCCAAGCTCTCTCGCATGGCTCCTAACCCCAGACAGGGTCCCCATTATTCTGTCACCATCATACATGCAGACACAAGTGGCAGGCGTTTATAATTAGATATCTATATAAAGGGCCCAGCTTTTCCTTCACCAATGTTCCACTTTCCTCTGGGTAGCCGCCGCCCAGTCCAAGGACGACGAAGCTATCAAGGCCTCTCGTCAGCATCCTCCAGGCACGGCAGACATGGCGACTGGACACATCGGTGGCTACTTGGCCCAGCAGCCATCAGACCTCTCTGGCGTTGAAGACAGAGGTCTGCGGTTCACCAACGACGACTGGAACGGCAGTATTTCTAACGGAATACCCTTCACCCTGAAGTGGAACGAGACGATTGATGGTGAAGATGGAGAATTGAAGCTGTATAACGTTTCTTATCCTCGAGGAGGAGGTGTATCGTTTGAGCTGGTCTCAAACCTCACAGGTGAGCGAAATGGATATCTCCCCTCGGCCAGTACCCATTTGTGTATGCTTATTTCTAACGAAGGTGATAGGATCATTGGCCAACATGTCATATGTTTGGACACCCAAGGGACTGAATGGTAGTGACCTGTACGCTTTCTGGGTAACGAGGCAGCGAGCCCATGATGCGGAGTGGGCGGTCTCTCCACCATGGAAACTTTCGGACGTGAGTTTACTCTCCCGGGACTCATTGCAGTTCTAAAAATGTGTGTATTGACAAAATGAAATAGGAGCCTCGTGGCTTTCACTGGTCGACCCCGGTCGGTGTCCCCATTGTTGTTATTCTGGGAGTGTACTTTGTGTGCTTGATATCGTATCTTGTCTACCGCCGGCGCAGGAGGATCAAACGCGAAAGAGAACACGATGGCAGCAATGAGCAGGCCGAGGCCCAGGATACCCCAGATGCTGAAAACGCTGACAGACATCCATCGGTCAGCTCCATCGCCACAGTGCAAACATTTACCCAGGACGATTCAATTTCAAAGAATGATAGCCCTATTGCATTGGCCGAATCACCAGTCAGTTACAGAAGTCATAGTTGCAGCTGCTCGAACCACGGTCAGGCACCCGCATTGCAGCTTTGGACAAACAGAGAAACAGATGATTCGATTGGGCAGGCAAGATAACGAGAATATCTCTATCGCCCACTACTTATATCAATCTCTGGATGTATATCTCCTGGTGGAGAGTACTTTTTTTACCCACGGGTATATTTATGTCAATACAAAACTAATTGCCTATCCTAAGAAGCAACACATTGGTTGGCTCGGTCTTTCTTGGAAGGCAAATCACTTTAGATAGTATGCAACAAGTAAGTAACAGCTCAATATAACCAGATCTGACGAGAAATGACTCATTATGAAAAATGACGATATTGAGCTGAAAGTAGCTAGGTGAATACACTGCACTGGGAGCTTTGATCAGTTCTTGGTGCTAAGACGTCAGAACCATCTGTAAGGCCGCACTCATAGTCCACATCTTCAATGTTCATGAGGCAGATGCACCTTATGTTTGTTCTCGCCTGAAAGGAAAGCCAGGACTGACTTAGATGATCCATATGATTCAATCTTCTTTCACCTAGGTATGGAAAGCTTTACGAATAACTTTAGTGTTGCATCAACCCTCGGTGTTGAGCTGAGCTGGAATGCAAAGACGCGATCTAGATTGATTTATTTTGTGCGCGCGCGTGATCTCTGTTCTCCAGCATGCTTTACACTTTGAATCCTTCTTGTATAACGTACCTGGGTCAATCATTCCACTTGACCTTCAGCTTACATTTCCATCTCTTGAGAACACTGTACATGATGTTGCTCGACTCGGATTCGGCCTCTGCTCCGGCGCCGGCCCCACAATCTTGGTTCCGGGAACGGCAAGCGATGAGCTTGTCTGCTAGATCATGAGTGTCGACCCTGACAACCTCCTTGTTCAATTCTATTGATCCTCCATATTCGAGGTTTATTCCAACGTGATAAAAGGGAAATTATGCCCAGATCTAATACGGTTCATCGGTTAGAAGTGGAGGTATTTGATGTCAACTTTGCTCTGTGTAGCCTTGTACGAGTGATTGTAATGAGTTTCCCCAGCATTTCCTATCCCCTTCCTATCTGAAGCTCGTGTTCTACCTTGTTTCAGTTGCCTACGAATCAGAAATCACTTGTTATTCTGGTCACATATTTCTTTTCAAGCTGCCTTTTTCTCTCACCAAATTCAGCCAACATCTCCAGAAGCTTTGGGTGAGCTGTGATATCGCATCCCTTCCAGCTCAACATTCTTTCGCCGAGGTCAAGCCTGAAGACAGCCCGTCGAATTAGAAATTTATACCAAGGCCATACAAATTGATAATCGCGCCGGTGGGTTGTTATTAATGGAAAGTAGCTTTTAGTTCGCAAAATGTGGCTGATGGCATATTGGTGGCCGAAAGCACGCTATGTTCCGAACCAGAAAAGAAAAACAATGTACTACAACAGCAATTGAAATCCTCGGATATTTCGTCTACAGTTAGCTCCTATTTATTTAGTTTTTAAGAAAGGGAGAGAGAGCTGCCATTCGCAAAAGGGTTGCTCTGAGTGGTACACGTGACACAAGCGGTGCCGCCGGTATTCGGAGATAGGATTTCCCGGGCGCCAAGCTCCAATCCGCATCATTCGTCAGAGCACTGCTCGTAAGGCAGGAGCCTATTGCGTTGCTCTGCCTGCCTCATAGCATTAGTTAATCGATCCCAGCTCAAGAACCCCACGAACCCTCACGTATCCGTCGCCCAGCACCAGTGGCATTCCCTCACAACCTCACCCCCAAACTTAACGCCAAAGTAGTATTTTCAAGTCGGCAAGCTCCTTCTACCGTCAAAATGTCTGACGGAGCCTTGAAGCCCGAGAAGGACTTCTCGAAAGAGGTCGACCAGCAGCTTCCAGAAGCCGAGAAGCTTGCCACGGTGCGTCGACGACGCCGGTATCTGACGAAACTGTGGCCGAGGCTAATTTGGCATGCAGAGCAATCTCCAGGGAGCCGTTGAGAAGCTTGCTGCTCTCGAAAAGCAGACTCGTCAAGTAAGTAATCGTCGGAGCGGGACTGGAAGCGTCACTGACCCATTATTAGGCCTCCGATCTAGCATCGACCTCACGAATCCTCATCGCAATCGTTACACTATGCAAGAATGCGGGAGACTGGAGCTTGCTGAGCGAGCAGACTTTGCTCTTCTCCAAGAAGCACAGCCAGCTGAAGCAGGCCATCACCAAGATGGTACAGACCGTTATGGGCTTCCTCGACGACACACCGGATCTCAAGACCAAGCTATCGGTTATTGAAACTTTAAGAACTGTCACTGAGGGAAAGATCTTTGTTGAAGTCGAGCGCGCCCGAGTTACCAAAATTTTGTCCGACATCAAGAAGCAGCAGGGAGATGCTCAGGCTGCCACCGACATTCTCTGTGAGCTGCAGGTGGAGACCTTCGGTTCGATGTCCAGAAGAGAGAAGACGGAATTCATCCTCGCTCAGGTTGCTCTGTGCATCGAAGTCGGAGACTGGACCCAAGCCGGTATTCTTGGACGCAAGATTAGCACCCGGTACCTCTCTCGAAAGCCTAAGAAGACCGCCGAGCAGCTAGAGAAGGAACAGAAGGAAAGAGAAAAGAAGAAGGCTCGAGGTGAAGAGGTTGCAGAGGAGCAGGAAGATGACACAACCGACCTCAAGCTTCGCTATTACGAACAACAGATCCAGCTTGCAAAGCATGACAAGAAGTACCTAGATGTTTGCAAGCACTACCGACAGGTGTTGGATACGGAAGCTGTTGAGGAAGACCCCGCAAAGCTTCACCCTGTAAGCATCGTGTTGATATGTTTCCACTTGGCACTCGTTGACTAATGATCCATGATAGGTCCTCCAAAGAATAATTTACTTTGCCATTCTGGCCCCTCATGATAACGAGCAACACGATCTCCTGCATCGAATTCACAAAGACACTCGAAATGCAAGCATTTCTCTTGATGCAGAGCTTCTGAAGTTGTTCACAGTCCACGAATTGATGCGGTGGCCCGAGGTTTCGAAGGAGTTTGGCCCTCACCTTTGCTCCACTGATGTCTTCGAGGCACGAGCAGGAAACGACGAGGAGGCACACCAGAGGTGGGAGGACCTCCGCAAGCGGGTTATTGAGCACAATGTGCGTGTTGTAGCCAAGTACTACACAAGGATTCAGATGAAGCGTTTGACACAACTGCTTGATCTGACAGAAGATGAGACGGAGAAGTACATCAGCGAACTGGTGACATCCAAGACAGTCTACGCCAAGATTGATCGGCCAGCCCAGATTGTCAGCTTCGCCAAGCCACAAGACGCTGATGATATTCTGAACGAATGGAGTCACAACATGAAGAGTTTGTTGGGATTACTGGAGCGAATTGACCACCTCATCACCAAGGAGGAGATGATGGCACGAATCCAACCAGCAGGTTCAAAATAAATTAATGGACTGGGTATCGGCAAGGGAGTTCGGCATTGGGAAGCCCCGGGTCAAATCAGAGACTAGTGGCTGTACAAGGTAGAGGGTGCCTCCTATGATGAGGTTATTTGTAAAAAGATAGATAGACGCCAGGCGCTTGGTCTAATCTTCTCTATATGCTGATCGTCCTCCTTCTATTTCTAAGTGTATTCTTTTGGTTTCTATTCGATGTCCGTCTCTTCCATCACAGCTCGGATTTGAGTTCGCGCTCAGTATACTGTTTGATGAATCCCGCCAACGGGAGCGCCCACTCTTTCGATACCGGCACGTAATGACCACCAGGATGTGTCACTACCAAGGGGCTCTCGCATCGGTCTATCAGAGCTTGGGTCCTACTTTCCTCAACGACGGTATCCAAGCTTCCCAGATAATGCAGAGTTGGCGTCGTGATCTTGGGCTCGTAGCACCACTGAAGCTTGTCGACTGGGGCCCAAAACCCCGAGTATGAGACGGCAAACTTCAAAGGTTGTCCGCCGTTTGCTTCTCGCAGCTTTCTTGCCCACTCGCCTTCGGCACCTTCCGGGGCCGCCCTACCGCTCTCGAGCGCAGCAGCAACGATACCAGTCACCGCACCGCCTTGGCTGAATCCGCAGACGGCGTCAACTCCGCCGGCCTCCTTGATTGCCTCCGCAACCGCGGCCATGCCCTCGTTGAAATACCTGTACTCGCCTGTGGCATCGTTCTTGCGGAACCACGCCCATGAGTCGATCTGCTCCTCCTGGCCCTCGGAACCCGGGGCCGGCTCGTAGCCCGGGATGTCCTGCGGCCTAAGGCGGTTGGGCGCCGTCGGGTAGAAGAACACCGGGAGGATGGAGATGGGGCCCAGTGACTTGGTCAGGATCTTTTCTAGAGCGCGTGTCTTTGCGCGGAAGAGAGGACCTGACTGTGTGTAGCCTGTTTGGACGTGTAAGCAAAGACATTTTATAGTTTTTTCGTCATGTTGAGAAATTCAGCATAGGGCATTTTTGAAGAGACGGCGTTGGTGCAAAGCCCAGTAGTTTCCGATAGATTATTTATAGAACCGCAGTTCGATTCTAAATAGTACTTACCGTGGAGCATGAGAACCTTGACCTCTTTCTTTCCAGCCGGGGCTTTTGGCTTCGGCGTAGAGCCGTTTTGCTGGGGGGTCGTCGACATGGTGGTGAATGCGAAACGTGGGGCGAAAGCAAGCGACACAAAACCTCGGGGTGATCTAAGATGGAACAATGCAGACTTTACAAGAAGCATGGAGCAAAGTGTACGAAGGAAATGGCTGTTGGTGAGTGGGAGAATGGCGCACTTGATGAGTGCGATAACGAAGTCGGCGTTCAAGTGTGAGCTTAGGTAATTTGGCAATTTTCTAGGCCGACAACGCAGGATACAGACTACGAGCAAAGAAAGCGGCTATATTCGCACCGCCGACACCCCTCAGAACGTCATGAATGGTGCTGAAAAGTTTCGCTTGATACAGAGTGAGCATCGGGTAATTAATCGAGGCCTCATTGCCACCAAACAAGAGCTAAGTACAGACCCGGCTCAACGGAAGATCATCGGAGGGTGTGGACAAAACCGAGTATACCGCGTTCTGGCGGACATTGATCAACATGGTCGTTGTGGGAATAGATTATGCCTTGAAATGTCGGTTGGCGGACGGCGGAGGCGAGATATCCGGCATACATCGCCTCACATCATAAGCCCCTGGAGCTTGCGCCTTCGAATAAATGGAATATGTATGGTTTCGTCAAGCTGTCGCCACAGCAGGTCGATTGAGCTTCATCTGAAAGTCTATTGATACAAATCTTTGCCCGACCAAACAAGGCTGGGTGTCATCCTCGAGCTGCCTGTATTCCGTTGCTCATTGTTTTGCATCTCCTCCTCCCTGTCTCAATTCTTTGGACGACCTTAGTGCTTGAGCTTGGCGTTGGGGTTGCGGGGGTCGTTCTTCCACTCGTCGGCTATTATACCAATGTCAGTCCGGAGCTTCTACCGGCAGAGTTCGTCGCTGCTTACAGGCCAGCATCTTGTTGGTGAGGGAGTTGGCGCCGTAGGCGATAACCAGACCTAATGTAACCGTCAATATCCGTTGTCGAGGGCAAAAATCGCTTCTTCCTCCTGATGAAATTCCCGGAGCCGATTGACGAGCAATTGGCGCTTCGTGATCACGTACCGGCAGCGAAGAAGGGCCAGTAAGGCTTCACTGTTGAGGTGTCAGTTGCGAAAGCGCGGCAAAGTCAAGAGACAGGGGGGCGCACGGAAAGGAGCATTGAACTTCTTGAAGGGGGCGACACCGGACCAAGACATGATGGCGAGATCGAGGGGTTGTTGGCAAGAGGAATTGGTTGGGAGGGGATGATATCGACACTGGATTGTGGTGAAGCCTTCAAAACGAGCCTTTTTCCAATCACGGCCAAGCTAGGAACGAGCTGCGAGTAGGTTGATCCGTAGCCGAGAAACCGGTAGTGGCCTGAGGCAGCTATCTACGGGAGATCGCGGGACGCGTAAGAACATTATTCCGACCCCGCACTCTATCTACAGGTGGATAGGTAGCTATCTCCCTGAGCTCATCACCTTCAATGACAACAGACGTGTCAAAGTGGCCTTTATTCTTTACTTTCTCAAGATTGATGCCTCTTATCTGCCCGCAAAGGTCAAGTTTTGCGAGTGGCTCTGTTACTTTTATTCTAATTTTACCTCAGATTGGCAAGGCAAACCCCATCCAAAAGACGTTATGTGTCAGAGGACGACTAGGCCTAACATACGAAACGATAGGGGCGAAAGAAGCGAGGCCTGAACTCCCTTGTGGAAAGTGTAATTTTCTCAACCGTCATCAGTCTCATTGTTTCTGCTTCTTTTTCTACATCAATACTTGTCTGATAACACCACCCTGCTCAATATCTCAGAGACTGGTACCGTGCTCACCCAAAGCCCCTCCTCCATAGATTCTGTCCATTTGGCCCGTGTCATTAGGCAACAGTGACTGCACCGAATTTTCATAATTTGCATTAGCAGCTGCCCTAACAACTTGCACCGGAAAGGTGCCCGGTTAGCTCAATCGGTAGAGCGTGAGACTCTTACGAGTTCACATCTCAAGGTTGCGGGTTCGACCCCCGCATCGGGCTGTTCCTATAATATATGGATTGAGAAATCACTTTTTTTGCCTTATTTTCCTATTCTAATATTTTTGCATTCAATTTTGTTGTCAAAATGCTTGATTCAGCTTCAGATGCCCAGCAAACCTCGAGATGGAACCAGTGGATTAAGCCTGCGACATCGGATCATGGTGCTTAAGAGCCTCGCACTCGCCTGATTGGTGACATCACAGGAGTCGCGCCTTAGCTTACCCAGGGAACTTGGTTGGCCTATCTCATTGATGCAGCTAAGCCAACACCACAACCATGGCTTGGGCATTGTTAGTTCCTAATCCCTGCAACAACTAATATTGATAGGCAATGGGTGTCTACTAGCATTGAGGCGTTGATGATCTGTTCTCGAGCTAGGAATCGTCAGCTTCATGTAATGTTGGTGCCTACAGTGTTGGGCGGATTCGTCTCGAAAATTCTCTAGAGAGTCGAAGGAGACGACCAGGAGCATATCTCTTCCCATTGCTGCTTGAAAGAAGCTGTGAAAGGTGAGCAAGAGAGCTCAGCATTATTGCCTTGCAATCCACCTACGGAGTACTGTGGAGAGCTAAGCTGTTGCAAAGCTCATTCCCAGCCGGACTAGCCACTAGAGGAGACCAGTCCAAACCTTGTCATCAACAGTCTGGACCTGAACTAAGTCGATTCGACGCGGGGTACGCCCTCAGAGTCTGCCGATCTCGCTCGTGTGACCCGTTTTCCTTGCCTTCGGCTGTATCATCTGACCATACGCCCAATAAGCTGCGGGCAAGTTGTCATTGGCAAAAGCAAATCCGGGGTTCGCATAAGCCGTTGGCGTGAAGTGCGGGGAAGGCAGGAGAGGGGCTGGGCCACAAAACGGCAAAAAATGATTCTCAATCCACATTATAGGAACAGCCCGATGCGGGGGTCGAACCCGCAACCTTGAGATGTGAACTCGTAAGAGTCTCACGCTCTACCGATTGAGCTAACCGGGCACCTTTCCGGTGCAAGTTGGGGGCTCGAGCGCAATTTGCCTAGATACCGCCGTCGCCAGAAGCTTCCCCACAAAGCCTGCGGACCAGGGACAGTATTAAACTGACGTAGTTCCTCGGTAGCGACTTGGACCTTCCCCCTCCATCTCACGTCCTCCCTTGACCTCTGTGCCTCTTTTTAGATAGACAACTTCCCAATCCAGCTGCTCTCTGACTGCTCTGCTTACTGCGTTGCCGCCTGCTACCAACACTGTTACTTTGAAGGGTGGTACTACCACACTCACTCGGCACAACCCAGGAAGGTGTCTCGTCTACGTCATCCCTCCCTCTCATCTGAGGGGGCAAGCTACCTCACCAAACACCAACAACAATAACAATCACCACCACCACGGCAATCATGCTGCGCCTAAACGTCGCCCGTGCCGCCGCTGCTGCTGCTCCCAGCTCCGGCGCCAGGGCTCTCAGCTCCACGGCGGCACGACGGTACAAGTCGCCGTCCATGGGCGACATCAACCCCTCCCGCGCGGCCGTCGAGAAATTCAACCAGAAGCAGAAGGAATTCAGAGAGCAACTTTTTGAGGCACAGAAGGAACGGGATGCTCGTGCGTTGGCCCAGGACAACAAGACCCCCACTGCGTCGTCGGGTATTCCAGGTGCAAAGCCAGCTACTAATGCCGATGCAGGAGCCGCGGCTGAGTCGAGGGAGTCGGAGCCCGATCGCAAGTCTGGCCCCTTGACCAACCTCATTTACGGAACAAAAGAAGGTCGCGAGCTCGAGGCCCAGCTCGAAGCCAGCTTTAGCCAGGTCCTTGCACGTGGCAAGTATGTCCACTCCATCGTGTTCCATGAGGTCAAGCCAGACAAGGTATCCGAGTATGTTGATCTCGTCGGCCAATGGTACCCCAAAATGGCGAACATGCCATCCAACAAGGTCCATCTCGTCGGCAGCTGGCGTACTGAGGTCGGCGACTGCGACACTTTTGGTAAGGCACCCGCTATCATTCCTATCGTCGATTGTGCACATTGATGCTAATTGCTTCTGGCAGTCCACATCTGGGAATACCAAAAGTACGAGGGTTACCACGACTCGCGATACTCCATGACCCATCACCCCGAGTTTGCCGAGTTCGAGCGCAAGCTCACCACTCTCATCAACTCCAAGAAGATCGACTTGATGCAGGAATTCTCATTCTGGCCTACAACACCCCCGCGCCAGCTTGGCGGAGTGTTCGAGCTCCGGTCATACACACTCCACCCCGGCAACCTGCTTGAGTGGGAGACTCATTGGAGACGCGGTCTCAATGCCCGACGGGAAGTGATGGAAGGCGTCGGAGCTTGGTTTGTCCAGATTGGAGACCTTAACACCGTCCACCACCTCTGGCAGTTTGCCAATCTGGAGGAGCGCCGCACTCGACGTGAGAAGAGTTGGTCAATTGAGGGCTGGAGTGACACGGTTCATAAGACAGTGCCTCTCATTCAGGAGATGAAGTCCCGGATCCTCATCCCCATGCCCTGGTCTCCTGTCGCATGAGTGAAGCGATGTGCTTTCGGATATGCATTTTCTGTGTATGATGTACTGTTTTGTTCAGGTTCATTTCTGCTTTTATTTGCATCAGGAACTCGCGGTCTGGGGAAGCAAAGGGCACGAGGAGCAACGTGGAGACAAGCTCGGGAGAGATAGCATGGGCAGATAGCTCCTACGTATTAGCATGAACAGAGAAGATTCGCCCATGATGGGACCCGGAGTGGGACGCCGTTATGAGGTGTTTGCTCCCGCCAGCCGTATCTCCGTCAACCGGTGCAATCTACAACGGCAGGAGGGTTTTTAGAAATGCAAAGTCAAATTGATATGCTATAAAGTTCTGCCATGCGCCAATATTTATTCCCAATGACTAGTATTGTGTGTCCAACCAATAATTAAGCATCCTGCTCAAGCCCCATGACAGCAGTCAGGTTGTTTCGTGCCTGGTCCAGCACATTGTTCAGATGACCCAGTTTAGAGTATAGCGAGATGAGGCTGGGGTCGGCGCTCTCGACGCGGACCTTTTCTCTCACGTAGACGTCCTCGAGGCGCGACGGCCGCAGCGGCGGTTTGGACATGCCGCCTGTGGGATGGCGGGCAACGGTCCTCTTGCAGTCGGCATCCACGGACCCGAGGGGGTTGTACTTGAAGACGATGTCCATCTCGTCGTGCTCCAGCCTGCGCACCGTGCCGATGGCCAGGCCGAGCTTGGTGCCGAAGTGGACCGGTGCGTGGACGGGCTCGAGGGCGCGCAGCCAGAGGACGACGCAGCTCTCCTGGAGGCTAAAGTGTAGACTCAGATTCGGGCCGAGGGCGGGTGAGAACTGTTCGGGCGGGACGGAGGCCAGCCGCCAGCCCGGGTCGGAGGAGGTCAGGGGCGGTCCCTTGAGGAGCTTGGTGCATTCCGAGAGCGACTCGGAGAGGACGGTGAGGTTCGAGGCCAGGGACTGGACGTCGGCCGCCCTGTCCTTGTGGAGTGTGAGCCCGAGCATGTCGATCGACTGGGTGAGGAGGGTGTGGATAGTGTCGAGAGCTTGGATGTGGACTGCGCTCGTCTGGGAGAGGGAGAGGGCCAGAGATGGCATGGTTCGGAGCTGGACGTGGAGTGACTGGCGACGGTCAGCGCATTGTTCACGAGGAGAGCTTGTGGCCGCGAGGGGGGGGACAACTTTACCCCCTTGACGATTCTGGTGCCGACCCGTGTGATGGTCCCCTTGACCTTCTCATTGCGCGGGGTGCTCATGACCAGCGTGCTGCCCGGGTCGATGGGGGCAAGCAGCGCATAGCAGTCCTCGAGGCCATGCCTGAGGTACTGGCAGACCTCGAGGGTCTCGTCAACGATCCATTTCAGCTCCCTTTCCTGGAACCTGATTAGCATGCTGCCTTGTCTGGTCCTCCGCTGCTTCGTCATGTTGGAAGCAGCTGTGGAAGGGGACTGTCTGGTGATGCGATCGTCATCGTCATTCATACCTGGGCTTCAGCCTCTTTAAGCTTGAGCTCTTGCGCTGTGACAGGTGGCCAGATGTCAATCGACATAGCTGTTTTATTTCGTCGCTAGTAGATCGAAGCTGCAGCTCCAGGGCAGGCAGCCATTCCGCGGGCTGGACACGGATAGATGGTGAGGTGTGGTGTAGATGCAGGCAGCAGGTAATTATGGTCCATGGATGGGGAGATCTCCAGGGCACGTCACAGCCCATGATAAGATGGACCCTGCGCCTGCAATGCTGGTGGCCTGCACCTGTAAATTAGTGGCCTCCAGAGGGTGTGAGTGGGTCATCAGTCTTCAGCCAATGTCAAGATTTCATAGTGCCTGTATTGCTCGTTCACATCACGCACCTCCATGTAATCGCCGTTGTATTGCTGTATATCAGCACCATTTCTGTCATTCAAAAAAGAAATATTATTGTTCTTTTCAGTCTTTGAATACTAATAATCGTCCCCATTTTACCCACTAGTCGGTCACTCGCTATTTCCCACTCGAATCAGCCACCCTATTTTTTATTTCGAAGCCTCTTCCAGGCAGAGACAAACTACTACAGACCCTCAACAATCTAGTGACAAAACCGTTATCCGGTTGCCTGACTCTAACATCTGGCTACAATATGGCCAAAGAAAAGTCAGACGGGAAGTCTGCAGAGGTGCTGCCTAGCCCCGTTGTGAAGCTACCTCCCATCCCCAAAGGCAAACCGCGATCCTGTTCCTCACACTACGCACTGGAAGCTAACACCTGAGAAATAGGTGCCAAGGTGCAGAAGCGCCCCTTGAACAGGCGCCAACCGCCAGCTTCATCAAATTCCAGGATCATCTACGTCTCGCCAAGCACACCATTCATGTCTGCTGTGAAACGGGTGCAGAAGCAGCTCAACGCCGGCCTGCGGACCCAAACTGCAGCTCACAAAAACGCCTCTCTGGGGTCCAGGATCAGGCAGCTTGAGCGTGCTTCTGCGAGTTCGGGCGAGAAAGGCTCAGCAACGGTGACTGTCATGGGCACAGGGAGAGCGATAGAGAAGACACTGTCGTTGGCCAGCTGGTTCGAGCAGGCCGGTGACTACGAAGTTGAGATGAGAACAAAGACCATCGGAACCGTGGATGATATTGTTGCAGAGGACGATGATGGCGAGGACGAGAGCCGGGTAAGGAAACTGAGTGGCCTGGAAGTCTCAATCAGATTGAAATAACTGCACTACCATGACCACATGGCAATATCATTGATACGAGGCAATGAACGGTCTCAGCACATATACGTTCGACGACGACCAAACAGGGGACGAAAGGTACGACAGAAAATCGAGCGAGGTGTTGTTTAAAGAGAAAAGAACCATGTGGTTCATCGCACGCACGTATATACGCACAGCTATGCTAACGCTTTCATACAGATACATTTCAACATTTCTGTCCCCCTTTTGACGGACCCGACATCCAATATGCGGAGAGAAGCCATTAATACCAACGCCGTGCTTCTCAGAAATCAAGACCCCCCAGATGTCTCTGTCCGACAAGACTCATTTACGGAGAAAAGGGTTCAATCCAACGCCGTGTCCATGTACCGATGCTTCGTTTCCAGAAGTCATACCCAAATAATACCCAGGTATCAATAATAGTGGTGATAATAAAAAAATCCAAAGTCCAGCAATCGCAATGCAATAAGGAGACATAAACCGCAGATGCAAAAATAATCGTTATCGTCAACGCCGGAATGGGGAGTGAAAGGAGGTCTAATCCCTTTGATCGAAGGAAAAGTGTTGATCCGAGTGAAGAGAAGAAACCGATGAAGAAAGTTCGGCCAGAACCAGGCCGCATTAATCTTTCAGGACTCCCGGTGATCACGCGACACGGAAGGCATCGATGATGAGCTCCTCGCCCCGCCACACACCGCTGGCGACCCACAGGCCGCAGTTGACAATGTCGGCGTAGCGCTTGTCCGTCGTCTTGATGGTGAGGAACATGCGGAAGCCGTACTTTCGAGGATCAATCTCCCTTGGTTTCCGTGAGCTGAGGAGCGCGTCGAGAATCTCGCAGGGCCCTGAGAGTGAGCCTCGGGTTCTCATCTCCAAACTAGATGTCATGTTAGGAATCGAGCTCTTGAGCTAGGAGCATGTGAGACTTTGGCTTACACAGCTGGTGGTTCGTCAGTGGTCCTCATGATGAAGGCGCCCTCGACAATGCGGATGGGGCGAAAGCCTCTTGCTTGCCCGAGATCGTAGCCTCCAGTCTAGTCCACGTGTTAGAGACTTGGGTCGTTTTGCATTTCTTGTGCCTCAACCGGGAAAATACATACCATGACTTGTCCATGTCCGAATGAGCCAGACCAGGTACCCGAGGAGATGGCGGTGATCTCCTTGTGTGCTCGCCCCGGGACGTGGGCGGGCTCCGGGCGCAGGGTCACTGCTAAACGGAAATCGAACTCCAAGGTGGGAGTCGGAAAGGCGAAGGCAGGATTGGGGAAGTGATCCAGCGATCGTTTACATGATTCTTCTAGGCTCCTGGAGCGAAAAAACGAGGTCAGCATACCCGAGCTTACACACGAATGTAGTGCGCCTTTGTGCCACTCACTTTCCACATCTTTCCTCAGCGTCGATGACGGGTTCTCGTTTGGGCAGGCCGCACGGCAGGCCTGTGAGAAGGTTTGGTTCCCATGGCGGCGTACTCCTGTCCTGAGGCGGGGGAGGGCTCTGCTTATCCCTCCGGCGCAGCTTCCTGGTGACCTCGGATACGTTGGCTGGTACGGTGGTGGTGTTGGTCCTGGCGGTGGCCTCAGACTCGGTGAGGGTGCGGGCTCGCTTGGATGGCGGTCTGGACGACTCGGGAGGTGACGGCGGCGCCCGCTTAGGACGAGATTTGGCCACTTCACTCAGCGTTACCGTTGCCATTCAGGCAGTTCGATGGGAGATGTGTGCTGTGTGTGTGAGTGTGAGTGTGAGCGTGAGTGTGAGTGAGAGCGAGCTGATTAACGGCTGCTTTTGAATGTGGGTATGTATGTTCTGTATGTATAGTATATATTACGTATATATATACATGTGTGCTTGTTCAGTCCGGGAGACAGTTTCACGGCCTGCAAAGTTGGGGTGGGTGCGAGGGGATATGAGAGGCAAGATAAGTGTATCGTGACAAGACAGGTCAGCCATGATCCTATTATACTGAATAGGGCCACTATGGCCCTATGTATGCACAACGGACTTATGGTGTGCTGATTTCAAATGCACCGGCACGTATGCTACCCACCCGATGTCAGGGGGCGCTGGCGAACGAGAGAACTCGCACAGGAAGCGCGGTTCGCCTAGATCCGGAGTCGCCCATTAACCCCCTTCGGGTGCCGAAGGGGGGGGCAGAGGCAGCGGATCGTACATTTGGCACCATCTCAGCTCACTCATCAGCTCATCAGTCGGTCGCGAGTGGGCCCGGATCAGCAAGCCATCGGGTGCCCTCGCTGATCAGCCCTGGCCCTGCCCGTTCATTAATGCCCTAACAGAACAGCCCATCCCATTCCTCGTCTCCCCGACCAGGCGACTGACTGCCCGTTGTTTTACCTGTTGTTTTGCATTTCTCCTCCCGTCGTCTCTGCGCGCTCACTCCTCTCGCTCTGGGTCTGTGCTCGTCGTGCTGCGGCCGCTGCGGCTGCTGATGGATGGATGGATGGATAAGCCTCTGCCCGGCCCAAGGCCTCGGATTTGGTCGCGCAGCTCCTTTAAACTCCGCCGGTAATTCCTCCAGCGCTGGTTTTTAGCGCGCCACGTTGTTCCCTCCCAGGCGCTCAGAGCCGCACTTGCCTTACTCAGACAGCAGCTACAGTGGCACACCCTCCCTATCCTCGGGCTGATAAACACCGCCCGTTCCGCCGTACGCTACCTTATCCGCAGGACCCCGTTTGTCAGATTATTATAGCGCGCTTGGCCAGAAGCTAAAGCCTCCCTTAAATCCACTAAAGGCGGCACGCCCGGTCTCGGCCAAGGGCCGATGCTTGATAACGGAAGAAAAAGAACATTCCCTCCCATTATTCATCTGATTTGTCGTGGGCGACGTAGTCATCCTCTTCGCTTTGTAAACGCAGGGGAGATTTCCCAAAGCGGCCGCCCCAAAGTGCATGCATGCCGCTACTTACTAACCTCGGTGTAACACACCTTTTCGCTCCCTCCCTGCAGGTTGCTGCTTGGTTCTGTTCCCTTTTTTTCTACTTCAAGATTTCTTGTTTCGATCGTGTTAATTTAAATTTATCTCTTGACTCTGCCTTGCTGTTGACCGAGCCAACACATCTTGGCGTGACATTGCTTGATTACCTGTTTTGTTTACTGCCTCCGCCCCTGGGGGGCCTCCCAATAGTCCTAACAGTCCCATCCGGCCAGGAGACCTAATTTGATGTCACAGTCATCTCTGCCTAAGCGATGGGCAGAATAGGAAAGCAGAGCATGGAGAATGACGAAAGAGCCTTCCAGGCCACGGCCACAGACATCACCCAAGAAAAGAAAAAGGCGAAAGCTACCAGGGGGTGAGGAAGCGAGGGGACGCCAGGCAAAATGAGGGAACAAGCAAGCCCACAGCGCACCAGCCCATCAACAACAAATGGCAAAAAAAGCTTATTCAAGACCCCAAAGGTAACAAGGAACCCTGAGTGGTAATGGGCCTGCGTATCAGCCGGCCTGCGTACATGTGGATGAGTATGACACACGAATCATGAATGCACCAAGGGGGCCAAGGGGAATGGATGGGCCGCCAATATTTCCCCCTTCCCCTTCAGGCAGGGACGGAGGTGGAAGATCACGGAGCAAAAGCTCACACGACCACGCCGGGGCATCTTGGTCATACTGCAAGATCGAGGGAATAGCAGACGGGGTGGGACCCTGGAAGGGGAAAGGGCTGTAGCAGGTTTTGGGCACATATTAGATGTGTTAAACCGCGAACCGTTCCTGTACCTACCCCAACGGAACCCTTATTCTTCCCTTGCCTTCCCGATAAACCACATCATTGTCACGAGATGGGCCGCGAGACTTTGACTCCCGGTGGGATCATGCGAGGTTCAGATTCTGGGTTGCTTCACGCGCGCTGTTGTTTCCAAGGTGGCTGCCGGTCTGCTGGCGGCCGACAACACCACCATCCCCCCATCCATGACTCTTTCTTTCCTCCTCCTCCTTCCTGGTCCCTCTTTCAGCCCAGCGAGATGGGGATGCGATCCGCTCGAGGCAAGGCCATGTGGTAGCTTGGCTTCACCGACTGGGGGGGCGACCAGAAGATGGGGTTGGGCAGGTTGAGACGCAAGATCGCGAGGGACGAACTAGCAGACCGCCGAGTTGGCTGCCCGCGTGCTAGGCCCAACGGGGACTGAGATGCACTGATTGTCTGGCCGAAATAACCTGGTCTGGCTGGATCTCAAAGTCTAAAGCCAGGCCTCCCAGGAGGAAGAGGCAGCTGTCGCAAAAGGCCAGAGGCGGAGGGCGGGCTGGGGAAAAAGTGGCGTGATGGATCGTGAGAATAAAACGATTCATGACGTCGCGGTCCCGGATTCAAACGTACGCTCCAAGCCCCGGCCTTTTGCTCTCCCGAACCCTTCCTCGCCGCAGTGCCTACAGACACTCTGGCCGGGGTGCTGCTGGCTGGGAAACAGGCCTAGTCGCAGCCCAAGCCCAGGCGGTGGCCTCGGTAGGGGCCCTCTGGCAGCAGCCCGACACTTGATCCATTCCACTCCATATTGTCCTTGAAATACCCGCTCGTGTAAGTGCAAGACCCTGATCGGCAATGCGTAATACCTAATACAAACAAACTTCTCTCATCGAGTTATTATCCGAGAGGAGGAGCAGTCCTTGCAAGCGCCCATGATGCTTGAGAGAGGGGAAGCTTTTTTTCTTTTTCTTTATCTCCTTCCAAATGGGCAGACACTTTCCCCAAAACCCATGATTTCATGCATAGCTGCATGACCATCTCCTCATCTCATGCCCTTTCCCGTCTCACTTTCCGCATGATGTGAGGGGAAGGGCTGCAGGAATCATGTAACATTACTATTTTTCTTCCTTCGTACATTTATCCCTACTGCCATTCGTCACTGCGCATGCTCCCCTTCAGCTGTCTCTCCATGGTGGCGACTGCTGGAGAGTTGCCGACCCAAGCCGCTGGTTTCGCTCAAGGGACCGAGGGAACGCTCCCGTAACCCCGATGACCCGGCCCGGCCCCAATCGACAGACAACCCCCGACTCGTCGATCTCGTTCGTTCTGTCTTTCACACACACACACACACACACACACACTGACTGGCCCAATGCTATGTAAAGAATACATAACCCCTTGCATAAAAGACTACATGTCACACTCTACGGCAAACACCAGATCATGCAATGCAAGATGCAAGCATCCCTCTCATTGTGCATACGTCAGAAAATGCCTAACTAACACAAACTAAGTGTGATTGTAATATTCGTTCAAAGTTGCCAACGAGTCTTCCATACAGACAATCCAACCAGGCGAGCACAGCTAGCCAATCTCAGGCCAGCTTGTGACGCTCGGTTCTCATCCAGTAGATAAAACCCGCTCCCTTGTGGTGCTGAGAAGTAAAGACTGCGCCATGCAAATATTATGCAAGTGTTGTCTTCCTGTACCCGTCTTCAGGTGACTCACTCGTTGCCAGAGAAAACCCGCCGTGGCATACAATGCCACAGTGTTGTATAAAAAAAAGCAGATCATACGGCAGCCCCAAGATGACATGCCATGTATGTCCTAAGAAGAGAAGTGGGAAGATCGTGCAGTGCGACTTGGCATAAAGTACATGAGAGAATCGAAAAGTAAATGTTGCAAAGTCCTTGATGATGTACGAGACTCATGAGAGCCCGTCAAGTAAGGGCTCTATCCCGAAATTAAAGACCAGCTATTCATCACTACTCATCAATCGTCACCTTGATTGTGTCCTGCTTGAGAGGCGACATGACGTTCTTGCCGTACTCGCCAGCGTAGTTGCCTAAAATCCATCCAATTAGCATCATGTGCATCCTAGAGTGAAATCAATATCAAGTCGCATCTTACCTGGGCTACCGTAGTTGCAGATGGTGTACCAACCCTGGTAAGCCAGAACAGTACCAGCACCACACTTGACAGTAGCACAACCAACACGGTTGGAATCCTTCCAGACGAGCTGGGTGAAGTGACCCCAGAGATGGAAGTCAGCCATGGGAGGGTCAGCCAGACCGTAGAAGGAAGAGTACAGAGGCTCCTCGCCGTTGTACCACTGCTCAGTGACAGCAGCAGCACCAGTCGAGATCTGGAGGTCATCGATGTCGCCAGTTGAGCCCCAAGAGGCCAGGTTCTGACCGTAGCCGCCATCGCCTTGGTTCCTAAAAATCATTGTCAGCGACTCTAACCCTTATACTGATGCAAACAGTTCTTGTAGACGTACATGTCATGCTCCCAGACACAGTTGCTAGCACTGTTGTGAGCATACTGAGCGAGCGTGGCATCCCACTCCATGGCGGCAACAGAGTGGTTGGCACGGTGGATGTTGTGGTGGTACAACATGGTTTCCTCGTATCCAGTAGGAGTGGCGGGGGCGGAAGAAGATGTTGAGGTTGTTGGCTGAGCAACAGATGTAGAGGTGGTGGTTGGCGCCGGCGCAGACGTTGAGGTCGAAGTCGTGGTTGGTGCCGGTGGTGCCGAGGACACTGAAGTCGTCGTGGGAGGAGGAGCAACAATCGAGGAAGAGGTGGTTGTAATCACAGGAACCACAACACTAGTGGTGGATGGGATAACCGGTGCGACCGACGTGCTGCTGGACGAAGGCTTGATAATGATGGTAGTCGGGGCAGGTTGGTCAACAGTGGTAGGCTTTACCGACTGTCCAGCAAGACAGCTGACCGTCACGGTTTCGGTGACCATCGCAGTCTCAATGACCAATTCT